ACTATTATGAGAACAGCATAGGAGAAACCTGTCCCAATAATTCAGTTACAGGGATTTTGGGAGCTACAATTCAAGATGAGATTTCGTGGGGACACAGCCAAACCATATCAACTTTGTATTCTTATTTAAGTGTTGTTACAAAATTGTAAAAGTTTTAGATTCCAAAAAACCTAGATCTATACCTCAGCAAAAGCAATACTTAAAGAGGTAATGGCTGAGAATATTTCAAAACTAATGGTGGACACCAATCCACACATTCCAAAAGACCAGCAAACCCTGAGCAGTATTAAAAACATAGACAAAAACAAAACACATAGCTACATTGCAGTGAAACTATTTTTTTTAAGTGAAAAAAAGATACCCTTAAGAGAATCTAAAGAGAAAGGACATGTTACTCTAAAGCCAGAGTTTCTCAACCTCAACATGATTGACATTTGAGACTGAATAATTCCTTGTTGTAGAGGGATTGCAAGATGTTTAGCAGAATTCCTGTCCTGTGCAACCAATGTCAGCAACATACCCACCCACCAACTTGAAGCAACTGAAATGTCTCCAGACAATCAAATATTCAATGGGGGGAAAAATCACACCTGGTTGAAAACCACTCTTCTAAAAAGAGCAATAGTAAACTGACAACTGACTTTTCCACAGAAAAAATAAAATCTGGAAGATCATGGAATACTTAACAGGAATCTAACCAACCCTTTAAATTAACACAAAATATAGGAGTTAGAGAAACAAGTCAAATAATATCACAGACAAATCTATAAGTAGCCTTATCTCTTAAAGAACTCAGCATCATAAGAGAAAAGCTAGGTTGGAAGAGGTTGTTCTAGATTTTAAATACAAAAGAATAAAAAGACATAATAGCCAAATACAGTATGGATATTGATTGAATTCTGATTTGAAAAGAAGGCTATAATAGAGTTTTAGGACACTGGCAGAAATTTGTATATGGACTAGATATAGATATTATCAGAAAAATTTGCTACATTTTTTAGACATGATAATAGTATTGTGCTTAAGTAAGAAAATGTCCTTATTCTTGGAATGTGAATAAAACATTTAAGGATGAAGTAGCATGATGTTGGCAATCCTTATTTTGAAATGGGCTGATATAAAATATTAATAATATATATTTAACGAAAAATATCGGTGCATATATATGTGAAAATGCTAACATTCTCTGTTGAAATTTTTCGTTAAAAACTTTTTCAGAGGCCGGGCGCGGTGGCTCAAGCCTGTAATCCCAGCACTTTGGGAGGCCGAGGCGGGTGGCTCACAAGGCCAAGAGATCGAGACCATCCTGGTCAACATGGTGAAACCCCGTCTCTACTAAAAATACAAAAAAATTAGCTGGGCATGGTGGCGCGTGCCTGTAGTCCCAGCTACTCGGGAGGCTGAGGCAGGAGAATTGCCTGAACCCAGGAGGTGGAGGTTGCGGTGAGCCGAGATTGCGCCATTGCACTCCAGCCTGGGTAACAAGAGCAAAACTCCGTCCAAAAAAAACAAAAAAAAAAAAACTTTTTCAGACTGGATAGCACATATGTACATACACATGCACACACACAGCTTGTTGTTTAAAAGACATGTAAAATATAAAGATATGTAACAACTGAAATTAACAAAATGAAAAATTATATGCCAGCAAACACTAATCAAGAAAACGCCATGTGTATTTAAGTATTAGATCAAATATACTTTAAGGCAAAAATAATTACTACAAATAAAGATATTTTATAATAAAATGTTCATCAAGAAGATGTAACATTTTAAAATTTCCATGACTATTGACAGAATTGCAAATATGTTGAAAAATCCACAATTAACATAAAAATTTAACACATTTTCCTCAATATTTGATGATACAAGAAGAGACAGGATCAGAAAAGATATAAAAGATTTGAAAATATGAATAACAAATATGAACAAACAAATATATATGGGACACAAAAACTAACAACTGCAGAAAACATTATTTTCAGGCATATTGTTTATCAAAATTGAACTTATGCTGGGTCATAAGGCAAATTTCAAAAAATTAAAATCTGGCTTCAGTGGAGTTAAGCTAGAAATCGATAACAAAAAGATAACTAGAAAATACCCACCTATTTAGAAATTAAGAAATACTAAATTATCCATGTATCAAATAATGAATTACAGTAAAAAATAGAAAATATTTTTATCTGATTATAAAAAAATTACATAATGGATTAACTATCAAAATTTATGTGATGCAGATAAAGAAGTGTTTAAAAAAATTTGTAGCCTTAAATGCATAGATTAGAAAATAAAGTTTGAAAATTAATGAACTAAGCATTGATCTCAAGATTAAGAGAATAAAAGGAAAAAATAAACTCAAGGAAAAAAGAAAAAAGTAAATATTTAAAAATTTTTAAAATAATATTAGAGGGAATTGACAAAGTCACAGCTTGATTATTTTAAAAAAACTAATAAGTTGTTAAAACTGTTGAATAAATAATAAAAAAAACACAAAAGAGACAACACATAAAACCAAAGAAATATTACTACAAATTCTTTAGACACTGCAAATGTATGAGCATGTTATAAATGACTTTATGCTAATAAAATGTTAAAAATTTAGGTAATATGAAAAAATCTAATAAAGAGTATCTAGCAATATAAATAAAGAAGAATTTTAGAAATATAAATAGTCCTGTGTAGTAAAGAAATTAAATTCATAATTTAAAACCTGTCTTAAAACTCTAGGCCAAGGTGGCTTTCCTGGTAAATTTTTCTAAACATATAAGAAATAGTAATAGTTATCTCCAATCTTACAAAAACCCTTAGAATATGGAAAAAAGGTCAGCACCATCCCACTTGTTTTATAAAGCAATTATAATCTTGATACTAAAACCTAACAAGAAAACCACCAGGAAAGAAAATCAAGTCCAACCTCATCCATGAACAAAGACAAAAATTCTAACCAACATGTTAACAAGTCAAATTCAACAAATAGAAAATAAAACATAATGAATAGATTTATGGCAAGAAAGCAAGGTTGTTTTAATACTTGAAAATCAATTTGTATAATTTATCACACATTAACAAAATTAAGAAAAATCATGTGATCTCAGCAAATATAGAGAAAAAAAGTTTTGTAGAATATGCCATTTATAATAATGAAAAAGTGCTCAGCAAACTAGAAGTTCCTTGAATAAGATTTTTTAAATATCAAAAATAATATGTGAAATATTATATAAGTTTGGTTAGGTTAATGAGTATGTCATCAGCCTTCCAAAAACGTTTTTTTTTTTTCTTTTTCAGAAAACCAGTAGCAACAATTTATAAAACAGTACCACTGACAATAGCATCAACAAATATCACATAGGTCTCTTTGCTTCCATTTTCTGAGTGAATGAATGCCTAAGGAGCCCCAGGTGAAAAGAGTAGGCAGAGATGAAGGCTGAGTAGAGAATGGCATGTTGAGTTACAGAAGTGAGAGAGGTTTTAAGTATTAATGAGAAAAGGCCACATACTGAAAAACCCAAACATGAGGTCCTACAAAGATGGAGGCAGCTGTGGCAGGATTTCCACTGACATTTTAGGTTATATTTCAAACACTTGAAATAAGAATAAAAGCAAGTTAAGGAAATCAATGTGCAAGGTCAGAATCATATACAGCCGTGTGGTTTACAAAATCTCACGTTATCAAAATATCGCACTGAGAAGCACTTTGTAAAAGTGGGGTTTACTTAGCTATAACATAGATACAATAAAAATTTACTTTTCTTTTGTATACAAATTTAACAAACATATTCAATCATGTAGCCATCACCACAACAAGATACAGCATATTGCTATCACACACAAAAGCTTCACTATGCTCATTTGCAGAAAATTTTCCCACTCCCGACCAACCCCTAGCCTTTGGCAAAGTTTGCTATGTTTTGTGTTCTTATAGTTTAGTCTCTCACAAAATGTCATGTGCCTCTTCGCTATCAGAAATATATTTTAAAAGAATGTAGCAATTTCTAAAATACTTCAAAGAGGGTTCACTATAGCATCATTTTAATGAAATAATTTCTGATGGCTTCATATTCTAAGCACAATTCTAAGTAAAATTCCCATGCATATTATAATCATGTGTATTAATTAGACAAAACATAGCACTGATTGAAATTTATATAAAATAATTTAAGATAATTATATAATCTTTCCTATGTGCCAGATAGCCTTTCAAACACTTTCATTTCTATTATAAATACTTTCACATGTAATAACTCATTTAATCCAACAAAACTATAAGAAAATTACTATAATCCTCATTTTATGGATAAGAAAATTGACAGACAAAATAATTTGCCCAAGGTCATATGACTAGTAAATGGCAAAACAACAATTCAAACCCAGGCAGGTTGGTTCGATATCCATACAATTAAAGAAAGTAGAATATAATTTTCACCTGTAATAAATTATATCATAGCAACCTGGAAATGGAGGCTGACCTAGTCATGTACCTGTGTATGTACGCTAATAAATTAGATTCATCAAGTCATAGCACATTGCATATGGAAAGGAATTTAAAGTTCATCATGCCAAATTCTCTCACGTTGTCACTGGGGAAATGGAGGCCAGAGAAAAACAAAAATTTGTCTAGTATTACTAGTCTAATTTATTGCCAATTTGGCAGCAAAATACAGACATTCTTTTCTACACCATTTCAAAATATTAAAGGCACTTCATGCCAGTTGTCTGTTCACCTCGAAGCAGATACACCATGCCAGCTGTCTGTCACATACAGTGGTCATTTCTGAACACCCTCAAGTGCCTTCATTCTTACAGACCCCATCTGAATAAAAATACATGATGTGCCTTACACATAGGTAATTATGTTTTGTTCCATGTGACCTTGCTAATGCAGCATCTTTATATGACCCAGAGGGCCTATGTGAGACATTTATGAGAGCTATACCTTACAGAGATACTTTCTACTGAAGAGTGATTAGAATATTCAATCCAACCCTTAAACTCCCCAGGGAAATGCAAATGAGAGATGCAGACATAGTCAGCAGGCACAAAGTGGTACAAAGGCAGAAATCACGGAGAGCAAAAGCAAAAAACAGAAGTCACGATGCACTAAATTTCATAAGGAGCCAAAGACTTCAGGTTAAAAATGAGAACTGCTAACAGAGGATCAAACAGGAATATGGAGGCATGGCTGAAAGAACTAAGTCAATAGGACTAGAGTGCCCCCAAGGTCAATAGGGTGGCTTTTATACTATGTCAGGGAACTCAAAGTGTGGATCGTGGTTAATCTAGCAACATGAGAATCACCTGGGAACTGATTAGAACTGTAAATTCTCAGAGCCCACTGAGACTTACTGACTTTAAGATGGGGGAGGCTAGGCAAACTGTGTTTTTAAGAAGCACCTGGGTGATTCTGAAACATCATCGCAGTTTGAGAACTACTGTACCACGTCAGTGACAACATCCTACTGACCTACTGAAATAGGTCAGTGACAGCGGTCTGTATGACATCCCCTTCCCATGAGCAACTACTGGATGCCTACACAGATTGTTTTTCCTCTTCCTTACTTCCCCCTTAGTCTTTTAAAATAAATCCTGGAGTAACCCCACGGTTTTTGTTCCTTGCAGTAATCTAATTAACAACCAGCCTCAAGTTCTGGAGAACTATATACAATCCATTTTAATGAACTGTTTGAAGTTCAAGTATTGAAATTATACTACTCTTTTGCATATTAATTACTTTTTTCATTTATTCATTAATTAAATATTATGTACTTACCTACCATGTGCCAACAGTACCTAGCAGTGAACATACAAAAATCCTTGTTCAAAATGAATAAATTAACAAGTAAATTATGAAGTATGTCACATGGTCATAAATGCTATGGGAAAAAAATAAAGAAGCAAGGAAGGAGGTAGAGTGCAGAGCAAGGTTTTGTGATTTTAAACAGGGTGGTCAGGAAGATGTCTCTGCTACGGTGACATTTGAGCTAAAACCTGAAGGTATGTGGGAGCAAGCCTTATCTTTTTCTGGGGTTAGGATCTCTTTGAGGATTATAGGAACAGCAAGGAGGCCAGTGTGGCTGGGATGAAGGAATGATGGGAAGAGCACTAGGCATAAAGCCAGAGAGGCCAATGGAAGGCTTGATGTGTGAGACTTCACGAGTGGTTGTAACGACGGGGTTTGATTCATTACTTTTGTAAGACATGGATATTTTACCTCTCCAATCACATAAACTTTAAGACCCTTTATTTAATAGGAATAAACTACCTAGTCTTTTAGCCTACAAAGTACAATTGTGCCATCTGAGAGTGCCAGACCGACCTCCTAGCTTTTACAATCATTAACTCCAGGCTAATTCTGGAGAGAGAAATAGCAAAACAGTGGTCTAAATTATCTTAACTACTTTACAGGGAGAATCAAAAAATAAATCTCTCATCTGGTTCTCTGGATATAGATAAATTCTATGCAGCATTTTGAGTAAAGAGACTTTATCTGACATGAAAATGACTCCACAGAGAGAATAATTCTCTTTTGGATAAGATTTGCCATCAGGAATGAGTTGCTGTCTGAAGACCTTTTGTTATTGAACACATAGAAAGTTACATGAAAATGTTCAGTTTGACATAGCTGCAAGACCTAAATTCATTTGAATCGACATGCATGGAAACAAGAGTGATTGTGAAGGGCACATGTCCTCATTGCAATGTCCCAGACACTGGGAGTCAGCAATGAATACAATTAACAATAGTCCCCCTGCCTCGTAGAGGGGGCGGGGGACCAGGACAAAAAAAATTAACACATAAGTGAAAAGTAGGCTAATTTTGGATTAATTTTAGATTGTTATGAGTGGTATGAAATTGGTATTAATTTTAGATTGTTATGAGTGGTAGCAGACAAGGAGTAACTGGCAGAGAAGGTGAATTTCTACTTTGAATTAATTCTTTGCGGAAGCCCTTTCTGAGGAGATATTTAAGTTAAAACCTAAATAATGAGAAGAAGCCAGGGTTGCAAAAATTGGGGATCAAAAACAATTCAGATGGTTTATGATCCACCATCTTGCTTAAGATTTATCTTGTGATCTATGGTTTTCATTTCTGTTTCATATACATTAATTTGTTTTAATCCTCACAATAAAATTGTGGCAAACATACAGTTGATATTAGAGAAATTAGGCTTCAGAGAGGCCAAAGACAGGATTTGCAGATGGGTCCTTGGCAGTCATTCCTTCTTGACCCAGTTTGTTGTTATTGTGATTCCAAAGAATATGACTATTCTCAAGTCTAGAAACACCAATATCATACACAGGATAGAAAACAAAAAAGAATTATATTTAGGCTTCAGTTATTTATAAAAGATATAAATAATTCATTTGCAACTATTTAACTATAGATTTTAACTGCTCTCTATTTTTCATTTAAGAGTTTCAGTTTTGGTCACCTAGATTTGAGGGTTTATAGTACCTTCTTATGCTAATTTTTGACTTGAATTTCTCTCTAAATTTGAACAACAATAGATAAATATTTTGTGAATGCTAAAAGAGTAGAACTTACTTTTAAAAAATGAAGCATATATATTACCCATATCTATAAATTTCCAGAATAAATCTATGTATGATTTTGAAAATCCATGGTTACCCAGAACAGGGATATAGTTGATGATCCAATTAGATTAGTAGAGGAGTTTTGAAATATGTAATACAAACTATTATGCTCTATTGTTGATATTAGTATTAAGAACTACATAAATATAAGTTGGTTTTTTTTTTTTTCTTTCCAATTCCTAGAGGCCTATACCACAGGAAAGACTGTCTATATTTTTTTTAGGATTTCTTTACTCCCTAGCATTCTAGCAACATCAACTATATAAATAACAAGAAGTTTTTTTCTAGCTTCTCTGGAAATGTGTGGTTTTCTGTGTCATTTTACAGTAAATTTCAGGGACTAGGTTAAGAAATATTCTTGTCATCTTTTCATGAAATAAGAAATTCTTTTTTGTCTCATGGATCTCAGAAGACTACAGTAATATGTTTAGCTACTATACACCATAACTGTGTGAAAAATATTTCTAAAGTGTACTGAAACATAGTATTTTGAAAGTATAATGTTTCCAGTTTAACATTAAAGCTGATTTTACCACACAGATCTATATCAGTATATAGTAAGCCAGTATGCAATTTCTAGGCTTTTGTGGGTGTAAATCCTAGTCAATGACTTTGGGTCACAGCTCCAGGCAGGAAAATAGAAGGGTAATGGCAAACATTGGCAGTGATGAAACTGAACAGTAGAGGCAAGTTGTGCTAATAATTGCAGTATTAAAAAGGCAGTATTTACTACTGATTATAATGTGCCAGATGCCAGGCTAAGCACTTAACTTACACTATCTTATTTACCTCTGACAACTTTTAATATAGTGACTGCCAGAATTATCTTATCTATTTTATATAAGAAATACTGATTTGCAAGAGATTAAACTTATCCAAGATCACATATTTATTCAGCAGTAGAGCCAGGCGACCATTTAGAGAACTCTGAATATAAAGCTTTCCTCTGTGGTAATATTGTAATAGTTCTGTGATATATATATATATGGCATATTTATATACTAGTACAACATTGTTCAACTGGTATCACACACAATACTACTTTAGAATAAATAATATCTCACATCAAAAGGATTTTACAGCTGAATAATCTTAAGAAGGCCTGCATATTAAATCCCTTTCTTGCAGAATTTCTACAGTAATCTGTTTAACCAGCATTTTCCAAGGGGTGTGTGTGTGTGTGTGTGTGTGTGTGTGTGTGTGTGTGAATATATGTGTGCTGTATAATACTTCATTAAATCCTGTGGGAAACATAATTGCAGAAAACACAGCACTAAGTATTTTTTAACTAATATTCAGATATAATCATTCAGAATAATAATTCACATCTATGTGAATGTAATTCAAACCTTGCCATTAAAAAAAAAAGCTTCAGAAAATTTTCAACTGCTTTTTACCCACAGCTATTGTTCCTGTCATCCACTCCTCATCAATACGTTTGTGAATGTGTAATATTCTACAGGGTGTCTGCAAAGTTGGGAAAAATGGAACAAACTTCTTAAGTAATTTTAGTTTACTTTTCAAATCATGTGCTCAATATATTTTCAGGTGGTATACTGTTTCAAAGATGAGAAAAAAACATGTAGGATCTGTGTTAACAGCAAGCTGATTATATGGCAGTCAAGTGTCTAAGGAGGCAGAGCAGAGAGATTGAGCAGATAGACTGAAAACAATTTTTGCTGGTCCTCATATACACTCCTAGAGTATTTGTATTTTATCTTACCATATATACCAGAGGTAGGCAAATCTTTTTTGTAAAGAATAAGATAGTAAATATCTTAGGCTTTCTGGGCCATACTGTCTCTGTCACAATATGTAATGCTGCCACCATAGTGCAAAAGTAGTTGATAGGTAAACAAAGAGATGTGCCTGTGTTTCAATAAAACCTCAAATATATTTGGCAGGCTCAATTTGGCTCATTGGCTGTAGTTTGCCCCACTCCTCAGCGCCAGTCCTCTTTGTCTTTCTTTCTTTGTTTTGTTTGTGGTTCTTTGTACGTTGTTTTTTATTATTAAACTTTAACTTCTGGGGTACATGGGCAGATCTTGCAGGATTGTTACACAGGTATACACACATGGTTTGCTGCCTCCATGCCCCCATCACCTACATTAGGTATTTCTCCTAATGTTATCCATCCCCAATCTCCCCAACCCCTGCTACCGTTCCCCTAGGCCCCTATCCCCTAACAGACCCCAGTATGTGATGTTCCCATCCCTGTGTCCATATGTTTTCATTGTTCGACACCCACTTGTGAGTGAGAACATGCTGTGTTTGGTTTTCTGTTCTTGTGTCAGCTTGCTGAGAATGATGGTTTCCAGTTTCATCAACGTCCCTGCAAAGGACATGAACTCATCTTTTTTTATGGCTGCATAGTATTCCATATTGTATATGTTCCATATTTTCTTTAACCAGTCTATACTTGATGGGTATGTGGGTTGGTTTCAAGTCTTTGCTATCATAAACAGTGCCGCAATGAACATATGTGTGCATGTGTCTTTATAATAGAACAATTTATAATCTTTTGGGTATATACCC